TATTGAACAGGTGTAAAAGTGAGAGTACTCTGGGATGAGTACTCGGAGAAAAGTACTCTGCGGAAAGTACTCTGAGATGAAATACCTTGCTGAAGACATTGGGAGTCCCTGCCTCTGCTGTTTGTCCTGACAGTGAGTCGGTCCAACCGCAGTGAGCTGTCGGTGGTTGAAGGACAACTTTGGTTGGTAAACTCACATTTAGGGGAGTATAAAATTAGAAACATACATTTTGTTGTTCTGTATCTGGCTACAGCCTCCGCCCTGATGCCACACAACACCTGTCAATGCAGTTATGTTTTGCCCAATTGGGAAAAAGATTGACAAGCGAAAGTGGGCATTTTTTTGTGTTTTTTTTTGTGTTCTGATATTTCTTTTTCAGATGAGAGATAAACTACCCCTGCTCCAGGGATGACAGTAGTGTGGATCAGGAGGAAATGAGCCTCCACTTTGGCACAAAAGCCCACAATATGAATTGAGGACGATCCGGGAGAAAAGCAACTGGAGATGAACGGAACAGCAAATCTACACACACACACTAGGTCTCCCTGACCCAACCTGGCCATTCACTCAGACTGTGGATGAGCGATGTGGGTGCATGGTGTCGGTACTTTTGCAGTCTCACGGAGGGCCACTGAGACCCACTGCTTACTTCTCAGCAAAACTCGATCCCGTGGCAGCAGGGTTGCCTCGCTGCCTGCGGGCTGTGGCTGCCGCTGAGAAAGCGGCCCTAGCATCACGTGACCTTGTGGGATACACTGAACTAACTTTGCTTGTGCCCCATGCTGTTTCCCAGATCCTGCTAGAGCAGAGGGCCTCTCGCCTTTCTGCGGCTCGTTGGCTGAAATACAACACGGTGCTCTTTGAACTACGGTGAAAAGATGCACACAGCTGAACCCCTCCTCACTGCTGCCCACGCCAGAGGAAGGGGAGGCACACTGCTGTATCGCCACAATAGAACAGAGATGCACTCCCAGGCCAGACCTGAAAGAGGTGCCTCTGACTAATCCTGACTTGATTTTTTTTATACAGACGGAGCCGCGTCACGTGACAACACTGGGAAGAACCGAGTCGGCTATGCTGTGTGTTCTGATTTTGATACTATAGACTCTGGTAGTTTGCCCCACTACCACTCAGCACAAACCGCTGAACTGGTCGCGCCCACCGGGGCTTGTGAGCTGGCAGCGGGCAAAACTGTTAACATATTCTGTGATACGCGTTATGGTTTCTCTGTGGTGCACGACTGGGAAGCACTGTGGAAACACCGCAATTTTATGAAATCTGATGGTAAACCAATTCTTAATTCCACACAGGTTGAACGTCTGCTGAGAGCTGTAATGTTGCCCTTAGAGATCGCTGTATGCAAATGCCAGGCCCACACTAATGCCACTGATCCCATCTCTGCAGGGAATCGGCGCGCGGACAAGGCAGCGGCATACGCACCTCTACACACACACACACACTACCTCACTCAAGACGTTGATATTTTCTACTCCAGCAGAGACGCTGCTGTGGGAGGGGAATGGGGCTCAACGACGGCATGGTGTGTGTGGCTGGGACCAGACAGCAAACCGTGCCTACCACGGCATTTCTTCAGACAGTTTGCAATTTTAGCACATGGTCGAGACCATGCCTCAAAAGGAGGGATGATGTGTGATTTAATCACACAAAATTGGTATACAAAGGGGTTTACGGCATTTGCACAGAGATTCAGCCAAACATGCGCTATATGCCTCGCGCACAACCCAGGTAAGTCCCAAAAGTATCCAACAGGCTGCTCATCCTCCGCCCCTGCGCCCATTTCAACATGTCCAAAGGGACTTTGTTGAACTCACACCATGCCAAGGTAAGTAATACTGTCTGGGTCTGGCGGATCTCTGGTCCAAATGGACTGAAGTATTTGCAGGCATACACGCCACGAGCAACGCGGTGGTGAAAGCTCTGCTCACAGAAATTGTGCCACGATGGGGTGTCCCGAGGGAAAATCTCTAGGGACAATGGCAGTCACTTTGTAGCAAAAGTCATTGAGGAAGTGGGTGAATTTCTGGGCATTGATATACGTAAACACTGCAGTTACGCCCCCTGGTCCGGAGGCACGTGCGAGCGAGAGAATGGCACTCAAAGCTCTGCCGCTAGCCCCACGTTGGGCGCGGGACCCCCGAACAGAGATCTGCCAAGCACCTCTTTGTGTGATGACGACATGCTGTCCTATTGTAAGGAAATTAATGCACTTTTGTCCTCTATTTCTGCCCAGGTCAGGAGCGCCCTGCCACAGGCTGCGCAGGCGACTGGGTCCTGGTGAAGGAAACGAGACGAAAGCACTGGCGGTCCAAGCGCTGGCTCGGCCCATTCCTCGCCCTCCTGGTGACGGACACTGCCGTTAAGGTCGCGGAGAGGACAACTTGGATCCACGCCAACCACTGTCGTGCGGTGCTGCCACTGAGGGCCATAGACGAGGACACCGAGGGCGCGGACGGACCAGGCCCATCCGCGGCTCCCCACGCCGAAGAAGTCGGCCGGCGTGCGGCCACCGTCGGTGAAGCAGGCCAACAACAACACCCAGAGAATCCCAGCGTTCCCGAGGTGGCCCCCCTTCTGCCCAACTCCCCAGCCCCCGGATCCCAAGGCTTGGGAGCCATGAAGGCCCTGAGCGCTCTGCTCAGCTGCAGCAAGTATGCAGAGCTGCTGCCCATTCCAAAGATTTCTCCAGAGCTTGCTCCCTCTGGCCATAATGCAGATTTGAGCTCTGCTGGAGTGCCCCCTGGTGTCTCGTCTCCCGTGTGTCCGGAGGAGGTGGAGATGAGGGCTGCTCTACAGTTCCTGATGAGGCACATGGTGAAGCGTGCTGTCATGAGGTCTCCCATCAAACGAGCTTTGGGCCTGGCCGATCTGGAGCGTGCTCAAGCCATGGTCTCCACACTCCAAACCCCGAGCACTCTGCCCAACCGAGTGCTGAGGCCAAGGCTTCAACGCAATTAGAGTCTTGCCGCTCCAAGACCAAACATCGCCATGACCACTAACGCTCCACACACGCTCATAGGGAGCGGTGCCACTGACTGCGAGACGGCACTGCTCGTGAGTATTCCCGCGGAAAAGACTACCGAACGTAGCCCGGCTAAGAGCGGGATGGGCCCTTGGACTGTTATGCTGGCCACACTGACACTACTTTCCGTGCTGACCGTGTTCATTATGTTAATATTGCCTTCTCTTATCGCTGTCCGGATCCATTGTGTTATTATAATGTGCTCTTTCTTTTATTGACAAGCATGTTTCTTTTCTTGTCCACTTTGGACAGCAATAATTTAAGTGTTTCAAGCTTGAAGGTGGTGTGATTACGATGCCTCTGGTATTTAACTGATTAATGCAAAAATGGTTTTGAATTATCAAAAGAGGGGAGTGTGGTGACAGTTTTTGGAGTAATTACATAAAACCTGCCGCAGCAAATACACGGACGTCAAAGGCCTTTTATCAATGCAGAGACGCCCTTCTGACGCCATGCTGAGCTTTGTGAGGGCCCCCTGCTGTCTGTCACACCCTTGTGTCTTTCGCATCTCGCATCTGTATGCTTGCATCTTCTACCATTGTCTGTCTGTTCGCACCGTCATGCCCTGTGTCTGATTGCCTCACCACAGGGGCATGACGCCTGCGCTTCCTATGCGCCTCCTTCACCGGTGGCCCCCTCCGATCTGTTGTGGGCGGGACTGTCTTTCGTGTGTGTCTTGTAATACAGGAAACTCGGGGCTCTGGCTCAGAGCTGATGCATGCTGCCTTTGTGTGTATGAGTTCTCCGCACGTGCGTTAACAATAAACTTACGCTTTTGATCAGACAAAGGACCTTTGAGTTTTCTCCTTCATGGGGTATATAATTCTACAACAAACCGTACTGATGTTCGCTCTACAACTTATGCTACAAAGCAGTCAAGTCGTTTGAAAAACGTTTTTTCTGTATTTTTGAAAACTTTTATTTAATTACAATTTTAAAAAGTTAAATGCAGGGAATCCTTAGATTGGCACAGAAGAATTGTTCACTGCAGTAAATATTTGTACTTCTGAGATTGAGCAACAGAGCATGCATTCCATAGCATGTGCCTAATATTGTATGTTGTATGTGTACGAACAAAAGCCATGTTTTACCTCTGCAAATTCACATTTGTAATAGTTAAATACTGCAGATAAGACACATTTATTACTGTAGGTGATACGTTTGGTTATTCTATTGAAATGGCACATATGTGCTGCCAGCATGAGTTGTTTGTTTTGCTCTCTGAAGGAATTTAGTTAAAAAACTTCCTTGTTCCATCTGCTCTATTCAGAGATAATTGTCAAGCTGGTTTCCCGGTAGTTCAGGTGGGAGGTGGCATCACTGCCAGTAAACTTTGATCAACACTAAGCCACACCTCACGTTTGCTGTTCATTCTGTTTTTCACAGAAAATGAATTGTGCGTGTTGCTGAGTGGGACTTTGGAGATATCCTAAAAACATTTACATTAAGGTCCTAAATATGAACACGGCCAGGTTGAGGCTTTCTGCCTTTAATACGAATTATAGTTTCTTTATCACTCAATAAATAGATACATATATTTATTTTAAAGCTTTATTTATAGAGGAGGCAATATTTTTTTTTATCCAATAGGTTTTGTATCATATGGGAATCAGTTGATACAAAATGTGAATCAAAATGATCATTATACCAAACCTCGACAGTCTGTTCAGTGAACATATTGTTGGTTACATCATCAAAGCTGGGAAATGTGGTGTTGACATTTGCTGCAGGTCAGAAAACTGGTTGGTGGAGTTTAACTCTTACCAAGACAAATTATGAAATACAAAAATACATTTATTAAAAGGTTCAGGAGCAGCACAAATAGAAAATTCTAGTTGGGTTACAGAGCACTCAGTTGTCAGAAAGGTTTTTTTCAGTACAGACAAATAAAAGATGCAATTGAAATTTTACAGATAAACAAAAGACCTTTGAGAAACGCTCTCATAGGATAGTTCCTTGTTCAGTTGATGGCAGGGTGCATAGACATGTAATGTTCCCCGCCAGACCATGTGCCCATGCTTAGGTCCACCCAGGTGCTGGGGGTCAGGTAGAGCAGGGAGTCATCCCCCTCCTGGTTCTCCTCGTCACTGGAATCCGCCCGGTTTTCCTTTGTTGAGTTTTCCCAGTTCCCATCCACTTCCACTGTCTTCTTGTAGCAGTTGCGGCACACCTTCTGCTTCTCGGTGGTACTAATGTGTCCGAGAAGAGTTTTATCTTTACTGCACTGGTGACACACCAGGATGCCACACTTTCTGCAGTGATGACGCCGTTTGAAAGTTTTGAACTTAGCTTTACAGATCAGGCAGATCTGGGAGGCTTTGTCAGGCATCCAGGACACAGCAAACTCCTCAGAAGGACAGTGGCCCTGCTTCACTAAGATGGATTTGCACAGCTCTATGTTCTGCATCCAAGAGTGCTTGTCCTCCTTTGAAGCAGCCGCCACAACAAAGGACTTTCGAGGTGTTCGGATCAGCCACTGGTTCTTCAGTCTCGCTGTGTCCTCCATGTCCTCCAGCTTGATGCTCTCTAAAAAGGGGGACATTTGGTCAGACTTTTTCCAATACAAAGAAGGGTCTAGTGTGTTATGTATTACTTTTTTGATGGATAACATATAAGAAATAACTATGGACCCCCTTACAAAAATACAAGGCCTTATTTCTGGTAAGAAAAACGTTTAAAGTTATTATTGGTGTTATTTACAATCAATCTTCTTTTCCAAAAGACTATCTTATAAATCTGCTCCCACACAGCCCCTTGTTGGCGGGGTGATAGTACTGACCCAGCGGGATGATCTTCTGGTCCTTATACCAGCGGCCGTGCAGCAGGATGCTGCCGTACACAATCACGTCGTTGAAGAGGAAGAAGACTTTGGGCTGTGTTTTCCTGCGGCATTGCTTCAGCAGACGCCCTTCTCCCACCAGAACGCGACCCTCTTTGAACAGAGACTTCATGGACGGACGGAACGACTCGTCCACAGCTTTGATGCGCTCTGTGTTCTGTTGGTCAAAAGTCTTCTCCATGTCGTGCGTGTGAGTGAGTGTGTGCAGAGACTGTGCAGAGCATAGACAGTATGTGCAGAGAGTGTGCAGAGCAGGTGCAGGCACGCCCTTTATCTGCCTCATGTAGGTACTTTCCACCTCCTTCCGCAGCTCAGACACTTTATCATCACACATTCATGCTGCACAACCAAAGGTGAACTCAAGGTGACTTGTTTCATAAGAGGATGTGTTTCTTATGACGTGGGTCTGGGATTAATTAGTCAATGACTGGACTTGAACTTCTCAAAACACTTCATGTGTAGAAGAAGAAACACTGACAGTGCATTTCCTTTTAAAAAGTATTTCAATTAGGGCTGTCAAAATTATCCTGCTAACGCACTTTGATTTTTTTTTTCCATTAAAGAAGCTATACCTGATTTTTTTTCTAAGTAGTTCATAAAAATGCTTTTTACTACATACAAGTTGTAGTTGGGTGGCAGTTCTGATTGCCACCCCCCTGACCCAGATATGGAAAATAAAGGGATGTAAATGAAATGAAATGAAAGTTGTATCATAATACATCATTTAATTGAAAACTTGAGGTAATTGATTCAGCTGTGTAAGAATTACAAGCAGTGAAAAGTGCTGAGTAGAGTCTCAGCGGGCCGCTCGTTCTCCTCCACTCACAGAACGAGCAGCGACCAGCCTGTGTCCTCTAGCCTCTACAGCGCTGCTCAACACCAGGGCTTCGACTTCAAAATTCGAATATAATTCTAAAATTAAAAATATATTTGAACAAATATTAGACAACCCTTATAATTCGAAATGTATTTAATGACTGCAAATAAAATAGTTAGCTTCCAAAGGTTTCACCGGGACGTGCTAGGCAGGTACAGTGTTGCCAACTTAGCGACTTTGTCGCTAGATTTAGCGACTTTTCAGTCCCCTATAGCGACTTTTTTTCAAAAAAGCGACTAGCGACAAATCTAGCGACTTTTTCTGGTGTTATTGGCGACTTATCTGGTGTTTTGGCGACTTATCTGGTGTTTTGGAGACTCGTGAAGCACGTATTGTTCTGCTGTCCTCAACGTGAGCCCCTCCCCCGTCCCAAAGCACTTACAGGCGGCCAGTCTCACAGTAGCCTTGCGCAGCAGTCCCCCAGCTACAGTCTATGGGCGGAGCAGAGAGAGAGAGAGGAGACTCAAAAGCACAAGAAGTTTTCAGGCTGCTGCAGACTGAACTCCAGCTCCACCACCACCACACATCCAAAGCTCCCCGGCCACTCCTACCACCGCCACCCCCCACTACCCCCCACTCCATCCGCGGCAGCTCTGTCCGTGACTCTGTTTTCTCTCAGTAGTGGGTCACATTAAATCATTTGTTATGCCAAACTATGAAAAAAAAAAAAAACTTACAAAAATAAACCTAAGTAACTCTGCCAGAGTGTGTCTTTTGGGTCACTTTGCCGGTCCCAAGCCCGGATAAAGGAGGAGGGTTGGTTGTAGAGCTAGCAATTTCACCCTACATAACAATCTTTTGATTACATTTGCTGTTATAACATTTAACAATACAGGACAAAACTGATGTGTGTAATGTGGATCTAGACAAAGCATTAAAATCATTAAATGTTGTTAATGTTGAAATTATTTTTGTACATTTGTAGTTCTAAACATATTTAGGGTGTTTTTACTCACTTTTGTCTCTCCCACGACCTTATTCCTCTCTCCTACAGCGTCCGTTACAGTTATTTGCAAATGGCAAATTATGCAAATTAGGCGATGACGTCATTTAGCGACTTCTAGCGACTTTTGGGACAGCCAATAGCTACTTTCCTTACTGAGGAGTTGGCAACACTGGGCAGGTAACAGCTAAGCTAGCTAGCTGTTTCATGGTAACTTCCGGGTTTTTCGCAATCGTTTTTTGTCACATTAAAACAGTATTTTTGTCATGAAAACGTTAACAGCAAATTCTGAAATCGTCCGTGCATGTGTGTTAAGGATGTATATGTATACTGCATTGTCCGATTGACGTTTAATTGTGTTGATATGTAGTTGTTTATTGAGCGTGGCTAGCTCAGCTAGCTCCGATAGCTTCTCTACACAGACAAGTGTGTAGTGACAAGCGGTGATAGCTTGTTGTGCTTGCAGAGTATATTCTAATGTTTTAAATTAATGCATTCAGACGCGAAACTAGCGGTATTCTTTTACTTATATATTGTGTTAGTAGTGTGTTGCTTTAGTGCCATTTCATCAGTGATTGTTGTACAGCTTACAAGAAGTTGCGCTAATGCTAATGTTAGCATATGTATCAGATCCATGGATCTATTATAATAACTGGATAGGGTATTACTAGCTTGTAGCTGAATAACTCATGTGCTCGGGGGATTCTCGCGGTACTGCAGACTGAACCAGACTAAATTCACGAGGGCTACCCAGAAATTTTCCCCATAGAACTCAATGCATATTAAAACAGCTCAACCTCAGCTGACAGAGAACCTACAGCTTTAATAAAGGTCGGATTTTGTGGGGATTTTAGTGTCCCTTGTCATCCTGAACTTTTTTTCTTCTTAAATCCTTCGGTTTTCTTTAAATCCACACTTTAGTGCCACAAACTCTGCTCGTCTGGCTCTCGCTCTAACTCCCGCTCTGATGAACTGCTCTGATTGGTCAGAGCGCGGCCGAGCCCCTCTGTGCACGTGCGTGAGACCCGGTGTGAGACCCACACACGCGTGTTTGGCGCAACGCATTATGGGAGATCATCCACTGCGCAGAACCGGGAGGACCAGACGATGCCCAAATACAGGCGAGTTTCCCATAGATCTTTCAGACTTCCGCTAATCTTTCAGCCCCCATGCCGTCACAAAGCGCCACTGAGCACAACCATCCATTTGAATAGGGCGCCATCTTGGATCGCCGGGGCTTGATCAGATCGCAAATAAAACTAGATGGCTCTGTGTAATGAGAGCGTAGGGGAAATGAGAAGCCATTGAGCGAGTTGGTGGGCGGTGCTAAACATTCAAACATTGCAGAAACGGGTATAGCGCCTTTAATCGTATGTACCGAATGACCCGCCCATGCATTCCATAATAACACTCAATGCCACGGACACATGGCGACAGAGCAGGTAGGCCCTCTGGGAATTGAAGTCGAAAAAGAATACGCGCGTGACCGCTGGGAACTTGATGTTGTTTGCTATGAACTCCAACAAGAACGCTCTGGACAGAGGTTTCCACCTCCAGCAGCTTTGAAAACAACACTGTTACGTGTTTATATCCAAGACCATAAATGCACTGAACTATTCTCTGCTTATTGTGTGCGTGTCTTTGCGTAACTTCTGCACGCAATAAATACACCGCTGAAGCTGGACTGAAGTGCCCGCGTCTCCTCCGCACAACTATACTCGCTAAGTTAAATTTATTTGTTTATTTAAACTGTGACGGGGTGAGCTCGTCCTTGAGCCCGTCCTACGGAGCGCATGTGAGGAAGCGTGCGCCCGGTGCCATGGTGGCTGCGCGCCGCGCCCAAAAACCATTCATTGACTACTGCTAGTAGGACTGTGTTTGTGTCATGTAGCGTGCGCGAAAGCGTCTTCGGGGTGCTCACTTGGAAGCGTTGAAAGGTACAGCTACAATCTCGCTACATGTGTCATTGCACTTGCCTGTGTGCTGGTGTTTTCGTGGCGTCTCCGTGGTGTGTTTTGGCAAACCCGGACATACGGAGCCATATGACCCTGTCTGTGGGTCACAACTCCTTTGCAAAAACATTTATGTGTAGCTTGAAATGTATTGTATTATGTATGTACCTAAGCGTTAAATATATGCAATCCTGATATATAGATATGGTTCAAAATTAGGATGATTGTGAATGTAATGTGGGAGGGGCGAGCAGGGTACATAAGGTGCTTGTCTGCCCATGGCAGTCCTGACTCAGTCATAGAGGAGGTAACGTGGACTGCAAGAGCGATGGTAAAAGTGAAGGAAAAAGAGACTTGAAGAAGTCATGTATACTTTAGTTTGTAAATATCCTTTTTACCTGTAGACTTTTCACTGTGCATTTGTACATTTCCCACTGTTTTTCTACTGAGAGATTTAAATAAAAAAAACTCTTAAAATGCCCTACCCAGCCATATGTGAAAAGAACCCATCACAACCCCCCCTCCTCCTCCATTACAATCTTGTGAAAGCATGTTTAGGACGTACATTTACAAACATATACTTATGTCACACATGAGTGAAAGGTATAAGTTGCCCATGCACTCAAACCAATGATTAAACCATTATCTTACAGGCAGAAAAGAATTAGATATGTTGCAAACTATCCAAAAAAAAAAGTCCCACAAAGACTTTGCCTAAGCCATTCGATTGCAGTTGTCCCACTCATTACGGACTGGAGTTAAAAACACAAACAAGTGTTCTGCAAGTGTGTGAAAGTGGCTCTTCTGAAAGTAAGAAATTAGGTCATGGAACAAATAGAAGCAGGAAGGCAGTTCCAGTCTTTCATAAAGAAAGCGTGTTTCCCTACGTCTCTTGATAGCTCTGGGAACTGTAAAGAAAAGAGTGTCATTGTGACGGAGACTATAGGATGAACTGAAAGGAACTAAGTATTGCTTTAGGTATGATGGAAAATTAAAGTGGATGTATTTGAAAATGAATTGAAACCAATGGTGTTGGCGTCTAGCTGTAAGTGTGAGCCAAGACAGATGTTCATACAGTACATAAGGCAGGGGTGTGTCCTGTAGGGGCAGCGAAGAAAGAATCAGCAAAGACTGTTATAGACAACATTTAGAGAGTGACAGGTGGCGGAAGTGTTTTGATAAACGAGGTCAGCATAATCCAAAAGTGGTAGGCGCAATTGAATGACAATTCTTTTCCTAATAAGAAAATTAAAACGGTTAATTGATTGATTAAGAGTTTCTAGCTGAAAATTAAATTAGTTGATTGACTGCGGAACCTTCCGCAGTCAACCATTGGTTTTGTATTTCTTTATTCCGTCATTTTTTTTGACACGTTTCACAGCTTTCACATTTTCAACAATTTCCACAAGTTATACATCAAAACGTTCCACATGTTTGGGAGATTATTGCTATTACTTTTGGGACTTCAGCGATTTCCGGTTTTTCCGCAATCGGACAAAAATCTGCATTGAGAATTCTGCAATGCATTTTAATAGGCCCATGCATTTTAATAGGACTTCAGC